GGGAGGGCGTGAGGAAACAGGCGACAGCCACTGAACTTGATAGAAAAGATTAAAAGTCGCTGGCACCGCCGGGAGTGGCTCTGTTCTTGAGGAGCCAGCCCTACGTGGGCGGGCCAGCTCTTCCCAGTGCCGAGATCTGCTGGCGGGCTCCCACGTGCCGCACGTGTCTCCAAGGGAACGCTGCGGTGCGGCCAGAGTCCGGAACAAGCTAGCAGGGTCTTTACATTCATTGCAATGCAGAGACCTAGTGTCAGGGCCATCTGTGCCTAGGTCAGAGGTCAGCTCAGCTTGTTGCTGGGCAAGACTCGGCCCTCACTGGTTTCTCTCCTTGAGCCTGACGGGCATCTTGGTGTCCGAGTGCTAGTGGAACCGCTGGGACACAAAGCTCTCTTCCTGTGACCCAGAACTGGGTATCCAGCCCCATGGAGCCGGTAGAGGCAAGATGGGATATTTGGGGAGAGGGGATTCTGACTTCACAGTCTGTCTTTTGGATCAACCACACTGTGGTGAGACCTGTCCAGACAGACTAGGCCAGACTGGGTTGCGGTGTGCAGTTCCTTCGTTCTATTGACTTGTAGCCTTTTATGGGGTCCTTTGGGGAGCAGGATGGGGCTCACCCAGACTCAGACCAATCCCTACAGTGGAGCAGGCAGTATGGAGGGTGGCCCTTCTAAGTGTCTGGGACGTAAACCTGGGGTGGAAGCCCTGGAGCTGGTGCTGTGGTTGGGCATGAGCTGGGTTTCACTGAAGGAACTACATAAAGAATTTAAATGTGCCAGAGGCAGGCGGATTCTCCATGAGTTCAAAGCCAGTGTGGGCTACAGAGCAAGTTCTAGGACAGCCAGGGCTACACAGAGAAACCCTGTGTTGAAAAACAAAAACAAACAAAACAGAAAGAAAACAGCATTCTCCTTACAAACAAACAAACAATAATAAACCATGACAGCAAATACAAGGCCAGCCCACAATCCCTATGTGGTTTTAGCAGTCAAGGTCTTGAGGGGACAGACCTAGGGCCATTCAGGGACCCTGACATGATTGCCTTGCAGAAGCAGCTTCAACTCTGAGGCCTAAGAGTCTGCAGGAAGGCATTGATCTAATAGTGTTTCGAGTCGAGGGTCCTCCTGCTCTTTCTCACTTGGTCTCCGACCCTTTTCCACCCTAGAGATCTTCCAAGAGGTTCTGCCAGGGTGAAGTGGCCCAGCCGGCTTGGAAATGGCTAGGGGCAAGACTGTGTTGTTTGTCCTCGTTCCAGAGTGGGTCTTGGCTGCCCCCAGTGGCGACTAGGGGCAGTACAGGGGGATGTGAGGTGACCTTTCAGGATGACGCCTGCTCTGAGCAATCTCAGCTTCTCTGCAGATCGCTGGAGGCTTGAGGATAGAGAAACTCAGTGGTGACGAGTTTGTCCTCCTTCAGGGGAGGTTCTAGCCCCTTTATTTTGGGGGTCTTGAATTTCATGCAGCAAATTATCTTATAGGAAGGTCATCCAGATCTCCTGGGCCCTGAAGAAGGGATTGCAATTCCAGGGCTGGGGCGCAAAGGGAGGTGGAGACGGGGCTCACTGGTGGAATCCAGACTAACCAAAGACTCTGTCTCCAAATACAAGGTGGATCGCACCCAAGGTACAACACCTGGAGCTGACCCCTGGTGCCCGTGTGTGTGCGCATGCGTACACGAGTGGGCCAGAGGTTGTTGTTGGTGGTCACATACCAACCACTCTTTGAGACAGGGTCTCGCGATGAGCCTGGAATTTGCTGATTCACTGGAGTAGCTGATCCGCAAGCCCCAGGGATTTTCCTGCCTTAGCCCTGGATTACAGGTGTGTGCTGCCACACCCAGATTCTAGGGACAGAACTCAGGTCTCAGGCTTGTGCAGATGGCACTTTGCTGATTGAGCCTCTACGTCCGTCCCAGCACTATCTCCTACCCTATGAACTTATTTATCTGAGACAGAGTTTCACGATGTAGGCCTGTTTGGCCTGCTGGGACTCACCATGTAGACCTATGTAGAGCAGGCTGGTCTTGAACTCAGAGATCCACCCGCCTCTGCCTCCCAAGTGCTGGGGCTAAAGGCGTGCACCACCATGCCCAGCCTTCTGATATCAGGGCCCTTGTCCTCACCGGACGCTCGGCCAGGCTGGGGCAGGACGCCTGCTGGGCCAAGTTGACTGGTCCTTACGTCACATAACCAGTGTAGAACTTTAAGATAATTCTGAAGTCATTTCTGACAACTCTCAGTACTTCCCCTCCTCCCCTGGGAACCAAGGACATAACAGCTATGCATGCGCGTGCGTACTGAGATGTTGGGAACTTTCCATCTCTCTGAATAGGGGCAAGATAACCCTTAGGGGGGGCTGGAGAGATGGCTCAGCGGTTAAGAGCACTGATTGCTCTTCCAGAGGTCCTGAGTTCAATTCCCAGCAACCACATGGTAGCTCACAACCATCTATGAGAATCTGGTGTCCTCTTCTGGCCTGCAGGCATGCATGCAGACAGAACACTGTATACATAATAAATAAATAATTAAAAAAAAGATAACCCTTAGGTGTTGACTCAGTGACTGATGTTTTGACTTAGTCCCTGGGAAGGGGCAAAGTGACCCTCAGAAGTTTCCCTTTACCTCATCTGATCTGGCAACCACTCTCCAGCCAATTATTGGTAATAGCCTTTTTGAATAAGCCAATCTTAATAGTTAAAGAGCAACCCCCAGACACCCCTTCCTTCTGTGGTCTTTCCCTTTAAAAATAGCCTGTACCAGACATTCAGGGTCTTCTAGCCTCCCGACTGCTGGAAGACCCTGCCATGACAGAATTAATAAAATCCTCATGCTTTTACATCAGCTGTGATATGAGAGATGGTCTCTTGGGGCGACTCCTCCTCCGTGATTGGATGCGAGGGTCCAACACCAGGACACTGGTGGCTTAAGCGAGAGCACTGGTCCTAAACCACCTCACTGACGCAGTGGATGAGGACGCGGTAGGTGCTGAGAGCCACAGATAGAGCCCAGTACGGGTGGATGCTGGGCAAGGTGCCAGAGGCAGTGATAGCTGTAGCCTTCCTCAGGAAGAAAAGCGCCCCGAAATTAGCTGAAGAAGCTTATTAATTAGTCTTTTTCTTTCCCATTAAAAGTTTGAGCTTTTAGTGGGGAGTGGGGGGAGGGGGAGGGAAAAGGGAGGCTGGAATTTTTAATAATAAATAAAGTTTGAGCTTTTCTACTAATTTTTAAAAATGATTTATTTATAATGTAGTGTTCTGCCTGCATGTACCGCTGCAAGCCAGAAGAGGGCACCAGATCTCATTACAGATGGTTGTGAGCCACCTTGTGGTTGCTGGGAATTGAACTCAGGACCTCTGGAAGGGCAGCCATCTCTCCGGCACCTTTTCTACTAATTTTTATTTTATATGTTTGAGATAGGGTCTTACTTTCGGATCAAACTCTTGACACTCTTGTCCAGCACCCTCTGGGTGCTGATGCAGGCATGTATAGTCAAGTCCCACTTCCTCCAAAGATTTGAGCAGATGGAATACCTTCTGTGAAAACCCCTATCACAACCTCAGTTTCCAGCCCATGGGCTGCTCTTTCTCTCACTAGTGGCCATATTCCCTAGCTGTTGAACCTGGCAGTCTTTGAGTGGATACCAGAAAATGTGAATTTTTCCTTTGTTGTTGGCTTCATGCAGCCTTCGTGTTCCATTTTTGGGGTGAAGTGGGGTTACTTGGTAATACTTTGATCCTTGCAGGTCCTTTTTATATATTTATATATTTTTGTTTTTTCAAGACAGGGTTTCTCTGTAGCTTTGGGGCCTGTCCTGGAACTACCTCCTGTAGATCAGGCTGGCCTTGAACTCAGAGATCTGCCTGCCTCTGCCTCCCATGGGAAATCTAGCCCTGAGGTCGGGTCAGTGCTGGGATTAAAGGTGTGCGCCACTACCACCCATGGCAGGTCCTGTTTTTATGATGTTAGGTGGACCTAGGTATTGTTTAGGGCAGTGACCGGAGGCTAGACCTTTCTGAACACTGCCCAGTGCTATGTGCACTAAGCCCTTTCCAGGACTGCTACTGCAGATTTCTGCAGTTGCCCCTTGGCCACACCACACTCTCCGGTACTCTGGCTGCTCCACGTCACGCCACTAAGGAGGCCTTGAGGGTTCAAGTCAACACACACAGAGCAGCCAGATCAGTAGTAGATCTCAAAGCTGAAACATAAACAAACCACCCTTGTACACACGCCTCGTGGCCTAGGAGGCAGGGCTTTGGTAGAAACCGCAGACACAATGCCCACGTGACGATCTGCGGAGTGCGGAGGATAAAGTGCAGCTTGGGTTTCACCAGACCCCTTGACATCCTGGGAAGGAGGGCTCTCCCCAAGGTCATCTAACTGGGTTTGTCCACCCGAGGTTCCAGTCCCAGAAGACGTTAAGCGCACAGTTCTACAGGTGTGAAACAAGTGGATCACCGTGTGAAGAAATGGAGTCGTAGGAAAGTTGTCAACAGTGCAGACTTAGTCTTCTGTCCAGGCTGGTTTGGGGGCTGACTGCGAATTACGGGAACGTGGCAAAGCCCGGGAATTTTCTTTCTTTTTAAAAAAGATTTATTTACTATGTATATGGTTTTGCATGTATGTCTGCCTGCCAGAAGAGGGCACCAGATCTCACTACAGATGGGTGTGAACCATCATGTAGGTGTTGGGAATTGAACTCAGGATCTCTGGAAGAGCAGTCAATGCTCTTAACCTCTGAGCCATCTCTCCAGCCCTCTTTTAAATTTTTTTTAAAGATTTATTTATTTATTATGTATACAGTGTATTGCTATTAAAAGGCATTCTCTGGCCAGACTCATGATCCTGTGGCGGCCGGAGCAGGAGTGGGGCAGGGCCTGGGGACAGGGCCGGAGCCCACGTAGAGAAGCCGCACCGGAGCACGCACTTACAGTTCGCGCTGGGGAGGGGATCCTTGAAGAGAACGAACGTGCAGCGCAAAGGCTGCGGAGCGCTCATCGGACCCGACCTCAGGGCTGGATTTCCCGTCCCGACTGAGGCGCTGCAGCTGCGTTCCCAGCACCGCGAACACCCCACTCGGCTGTTCCTCTCCGCGACCCTGGTGGCGGCTTCCCGGGGGTGGACGTCCAGGTACGTTCCTCCGACGCCACTCCTACCCTCGCGAGCAGCTGGCAAGCACGAGCCAGCGACCCGCAGCACTCCTCCCGGCCGGGGCGGGGCGGGGCGGGGGGGGGCGGGGCGGGGCGGGGCGGGGCGGGGCAGCCGGCGGGAGGAGCAGGAGGGGCGGGGCCTGAGGGACGGACACAGCAGGAGGGGCGGGGCCGAAGGGAGGTGCTCGCCTTGGCTGGGGTGGAGCCGGACCCCAGGAAGAGCCGGGGCTTCCTTGTACCGGAAGTGGAAGAAAAAGCGAGCAAGCGGCGTGACCCGGAAGCATTCGCCAACGCCACGCCCCTCACGCCCAATAGTGCGGCCCGGGGACGAGCTACTTCCTTTCTGCGCTCCCGCGGCCTAGCGAGCAGGTATATGGCGTGGCGGGCTGTGGGCGCGAGCTGTGGGCCCGAGCGGCTGCGGGCGGGCCGGGCTGGGGAGGTCGCGGGCGGGGCGCTCGGGCGCGGGTCTGCCTGGGGCTGCAGTCTCGGGTGCGGGCCCGGCCGACCTCATGGCTCGCTCGGTGACTCTGCAGGCAGGACCTCGACATGCAGAACGACGCCGGCGAGTTCGTGGACCTGTACGTGCCGCGGAAATGGTAAGTACCCACGAGCCTTGCTCTTCCATCTGTTTGCGCGGCCCCACTACGCCCACGTTCCTCAACTCCTTTTAATCCCGTTTCCTCTCCGCGGCCCACCACGCGCCCTGTTTTCTCCCATCAGCTCCGCGAGCAACCGCATCATTGGTGCCAAAGACCACGCGTCCATCCAGATGAACGTGGCCGAGGTGAGCTGGGAACCCGGGAAAGGAAGGAAGGAGGCAGCTAGACCTCCCAGTGCCTGGGTGCTTGCGTTGGTGTTTGCTAATAACCAGGCTAGACTGAAAGCGTGGGGTGGGGTCGAATCTCCTAACCACTCTTGACTCTACACAGGTTGACAGGGTCACAGGTCGGTTTAATGGCCAGTTTAAAACCTACGCTATCTGCGGCGCCATTCGCAGGATGGTGAGTTTGTTTGACCACGTGGACGTTGGGCTGTGATGGTGGTATCCCTTTGAAAGAAACGCTTGGCGGGACAGCCTTGTTCTTTTAGATCATGGAGGGTCTGCTCTGGGAAGATTTAGGTGTCTCATTCTCTGTCCCCTGGGCGTGGGTACAGATTTGGGTCCGATAGTGCATGCATGCTCTGTCCTGCCAAGCTGGGAGGCCTGTGGGGATACCCAGGTTTTTTATTTTAATTTTTAGGGCGAGTCAGATGATTCTATTCTCCGATTGGCTAAAGCTGATGGAATTGTCTCCAAGTAAGTGGGGATGATATATTGGGGTTGAGCGACCTGGGATTTCCCAAGAGCTAGGCTTTTAATGTGATTTTTTTCCCCCTTGTTTTGCTAGGAATTTTTGATCAGAAGAGTTCGGGGGAAATCTGTCATAAATAAAAGTGAGAAAAAGTACCGTTGCCAGTTGAGTTTACTGCTTTTAACATGTGGGTAGGGATGGTGTTTTTATCGTGACCTGAACAGGGGCAGCACACATCTAAAAGGAGACAAACTAAGGAGTTTGTTGCAAAACCAAGTTTTAATTTAACAAAAACATTTAAACACCAATCAAAACCTACCCGACAAACACGACATTCTGAGGTCAGATGCTCTCAAACATTTGTGCCTGCTGTTGGGTGCTAAGGGTGCAGCACCAGGTCTGTGGCATTGGGTCGCAGTCCAGCTGGACACCTTGGATACAGCTCAGGGTTCTGGATTTGGCCTGCCATTTGGTTCAAGGATTGGTTTTGTTGCAGCAGCTCTTAGCATTACTGGTCAGGGCTCCAGCAGACCCGCTTGGTAAATAATAAACCTTACTACATAAATATACAAGGTTAAGTTATGCTGTTTACCAGCTTTAATACATTAAACTATACATCGAGAGGAAGCTGCCTGGGTACATCCTCCAAGGGTAGCCTGTAAGTTGGAGCAGTATCTAGGAAGTTCATTTTAAACAAAATGATGGGACTACCTTGAAGATGACATTTTTTTGTAGGGCTATTGTCTTGCGTCCAAGATGCTCTATAGGGGGGGTATGGGTTTGCTTGTACCACCATAAGTGTGGTCAGGATAAAAGATTGATTAATTAATGCTGCAATGCTCTCATCTCGAGCTATTCTCGGTCCTGGGTGGTTAGATGGTGTCAGGCCTGAGAGGCATGGCATTGCTGGGGGAACGGGGCTGTGGAGCTGGGTAGCTGCTAGCAGGACTGGTGACCAATAGTCTGGAAAGCAGAGGGACAGTGGATACACAGGCAAGTTGGCCGGGTCAGTGCCTTCCTGTCTGAGGGTCACGTATGGTTTCAGAGTTATGCAGCAGATTTTACAAGACCAGCTTCTTTTCCCTTGGAGATCAAATTCCAAACTATTATACTTTTTCTCAATCACAGTATTGCTTAGGAAAGTCAAGAGCCTCAAGTTTGCAGTTGTCTTAAAAGGTCCAATGCTGCAGGGAAGTTTCTGGCAGGAGGCGTGGGTGGTTTCAGGCAAGCCCTGCTACATGTGTGATGGCACAGGGTTTCACAGTGACAGAGCTTTGGCAAGGTCCAAAGAGTAAGCAGAACAGAATGGGTCAAGGTATCTGCCCTCCTCTCTACCTTGACAGCAAGAGAGCTCTGTTTAGATGGAGGCAGGGTACCAGGAGTCAGCGTCAGTCAGCAGAGCCATTTCCGGGTAAGCCTGGCTGGCAACCCCAGCATGTTCAGCTCTGAACACCCAAGTTGCCACAGGAATGGCCTCAGCTGTGAAGGGATGCAGAGACTAGGCAAAACAAAGGCTGGAGCTCAGCATTCACCACACTGTGGCTGGTCTCCGGGACATGACAAGCTAAGCTCCACGCATTTGTCCAGGAAAATTCTCTGAAGTGCCTTGAGGTGTGCACTCTTCCAAGGGAAGCACGTCACCTTGGGCTGAGGGGCAGGACACTGGTTGCCTGCCTTCCTACCGAGCAGCTTTCTTGTGGGTGCACTGTTCTGGGCTAGAACTGCTGGGTGAGGCGTCTATAGTGAGGTAACACTTGGTTCTCGGGGAGGTACAGGGCCAGCTCCAGAGCTACGAGCACCGTGAACTCAAATCCAATGAGATCTCTCCTGTTGAACCGGAATCTTTCTTCCAGCTTCTGTAGTGAAGGAAGCAGAGGGTCAGTGGGTTAGCCCCATCTGTGGTCCCTGCCTATGGTCAGTCCTGGCACCAGGGTGCTCGTGCTGCGTGCACACCTCCGCACTCACGTCAATAAGCTGCTTCACTTCGCTCTTGCGGAGGTCACTGCTGATCTTGGCAGCCAGCAGAACACAGGCGCCAGCACACAGTTTGCGGTTCTGTTTGTTGAGCTTGCCCTGCAGTACAAGCTTCTCAAAGTACACGTAGGCCATGGACACGGTCACGGGCTCCAAGCTGCACTCTTCGGACAGGTTCCGCATCTCCCGTTTTAAACTGTGGGTGGGATGGGAGCCATGTCCCTGGGGCAAATCTATGGCCATGAGGCTAGGACGAAGCAGCAGCCACCCATCCAAGGCTACACCACGTGTTGTGGGCTGTCAGGAAAGACACTATGTTCTCCAAGGAGAAAGCCCAGGGCCAGGTTATGTGGCTGGGTAGGGGCATCTGCCTGGCTCCTCCTTACCTCCTAATTTTGCTCAATGTCAGTTTGATATGAGGGAACTTCTCCCTGAAGGTCTCATTCATGTCCTTTTTGAGGTCTGCAGGCTTCACATACTCTATAACTGTGGTCTGTAACAGAGGTAGAGGCAGGTGGAGCCTTGCGGCCTAGACATGAGTATGTGGGACTTCAGGAGGTACCTGCATTTCTGAGGATAAAATGGCTCAGCTTGTCCTCTGTAGGTACAGGCCCGGCATCCAGAATTGACCCCAGAAGACTGTCCAACATGTCTGCTTTGGCACACTGTCCTTGTCTATGGCCCTGTCCCCCTACCTGCTGGTGCTGGATGGGGACAAAGTGCCCTGTAATGGCTGTTCTGGGCTTCTGGGTGTGGAGGGGTGCCCACTCAACAGTTTATTCCCTGAACTGTAAACAATGCTAGGGCTGTGGAACTCACCATGTATGAAGCAAAGATAAGTACCCGCTTGTGTTTCCCACACGGCCACTGGGGGTCATCCAGGAGGTTGGGGTTGTATTCCACCGCATCTCCACCATCGTTTCCTGTAAGCAGAGGCAGCTGTTGACCCTCAGCATCCTGATTAGAACCCATGCTGCCCCCACACCGAAGGAAGAGGTGTCACGTTTGGGTCAAGGGTCAGGGCTTGGGCACAAGAAGCGACATCTGGACAGCGCCCCTCCCACACCGATGCATTCCTTGGCAGAGCCAGGGCCACACTATGTGGAGTCCTCTTCCTCTGAGAAGCCTCAGTGCGGGTGTGGCTTATGTGGCTGTCTGCCCCATTACCAACCCTAGCCCAGCCAGTGTGGCTGCCTCCCTGTGCCGTGGTGAAGACACCTAGACTACCTAGTTCTGTGCCAGCTGGTGTTGACTTGGTAGGCACAGGCTTGTGTCTTGAACCTGGTGGAGCCCGGGGGATGCTGGGCCGAGGCTGGGGCAGCAAGCCATGGCTGTCATTCTTGTGTGTAACCAGGGCATTAGTAGGGTACAGGAACTTTGCATAAGACACGACCTGGAAAAGTAATCACACTGGAGCTCAGTCCTGCTTCCCAGGCCAGAACATGCAACCAAGCTCTGCTTCCCTCCACCAGCAAGGAGCCTGGGGCTATGCCGCTACCCACTGGAGCAGCTGCTCTGAACACCAGCTTCCATCCCTCATCTAGGGATGTGCAAGTCTCCCCATTTTGGAAGACTCTTGGCCTTGGCCTACTGGTCAAGAAGCAGGGCTAGGTGTGGAGAGCCCAGGGGGAGACAGTTGGGTCACATACAGCTGGCACTGGTCATATATGGTGAACACTTAGGCCCTTTCTTGGGATGGCACGGGCCAGCTAGTATTAGGTATAACAGGATGCGTGGCTTGTTCCCAATACCGTGTCTTAGATTAGTGTGTGAGGCACCTGTCTGCCTAACTCTGCTGGCCACTGGCTGGCCACAGGGCTCTTGCCTTTCCATCCGCTCCCAGTTCAACGCCTTCCAACTCAAAGACCATCTCGGAAGAAACAGAAACGCCGCCGGATGGGTGCCTCTGCTTCTGGCTGTCCACCCTCAGGTCACTGTAATGATTAGGAGAGGGGTCCATGTGGCAGCCTCATCTGTTCATCCACCCGCACAGGAGCACAAGTAGATGGGCCGGACCTCGGAGGTGTGTGACAGTTTAGCTGAAAGCAGTCTGTATCTCACTCCTGCCCCAGGTGGAGGTCTAAGGATCCCCGACTCTGGAACATCCTGAGCACTCACCTGTACTTAGGCTCAGGTCTACTTCCCTGGGTGCGTCTAACCCTTTATCTGCAGCCACACAGTCCAGTAGCCAGCCTGGGACCCTGAGAACTGGCTACCTCCCACTCTGGACAGGAGGCTTCTCTGTGCCTACTGCTGTTCTGTGTATACACACACTGCCCCGCCCGCCTACTGCTGTTCTGTGGGGGTCACACATACACACATCCCTGCCTGCTTACTGTTCTGTGGGGACACACACACACACACACACACACCGCCCTGTGCACCTACTGCTGTTCTGTGGGGTCGCGCGCGCGCGCACACACACACACACACACACATATACACACACCCCACCCCAGCACCTGTTACCTCTTTCCTGAATTACACTCAGGACACAACTGCCTAGGCTGGATACAAGGTTTTAGGAGCATATCTGAGGGAGGGACAGGAACATCTCAGCCAACCTACATAAAGTTTCACCAGAACCTATGGCCCCTGGGGAATAAGAACCTGAACTGCAAGTTCCTGGGCTGTGGTAGAAGATGGCACGCTGACGCCCCATGAGTCTTAAGGACCCAGCATGACCAGGGCTCACCAGTGTACACAGCGTGGCTCTTACCTGATCCGCAGGCCCTCTCCATAGGGCAGGACTGAAAAGGCTGCACACAGGGACCGCTTGGCACAGATGAGCACAATCCTGTGGGAGGCACAGGTCAGAGCGGGTCAGCACTTCTGTCCTGCCTACATTTGGGTGACGGGCAGATTTCCCCTGACCCTGTAACCACAGGGTCACAGACTTCATGTTTCCTGGGAGCACAGGTCCTCCATGAAAGGGCAGGCCTCATTTGCACAAAGATAGGGCACAGGAAGGTGAGGCCCAAGTTCATCAGCATTAGCCTCAGTGGTCCAGACAAGGCAAAGCCTGATTCCACCAGAGATCACCCAGACCTAGTACAGAGCCCAGCCGTCCAGGGGCTCAGGACCTGAGGCCCTGAGTGCTCAGGATCTGCAGGGGCCACCCTGGCTAGGCCCTGCAGCAACATTCCCTGGAGAGCCTCACCAGGGTGACCTACAGAGGGAAAGGGG